TGTGTGTGTGTGTGTGTGTGTGTGTGTGTGTGTTATGTGTTTAATATCTAGGAGATGGGAAAACTAAATGTGGAAATCATATCATGACTTCTGAAGTTTACCCATCATTTAAAGAATTCCCTTGCCCAGCCATTCTTCATTCATCCAGCAGACAGAACTGTTACATTGCCCAAATTAGACTTCAATAAGCACAGCCAATGACTAATACAGTGACCCACTTTAAAGATTCTAGTTCAGCAAGGGATATTCAATTTGAAATTTCCAAATGTTGCTTTTAAGCCTCCTGAGTTGCTGCCCCCTCTGTGACCTTGCTTCCTCCCACTTGTGGCCAGAAAACTCAAGATAGTAGGAAATCTAGGGATTTCTATCCCTTCACAAAAGAAACTTATTCATTTAGCCATTTATACCATCAGATATTTTTCTTTTGAAATATAATCTCCTGCCTTCGACAAGAGAGAATGTTATATCATACAGCATATGCAATAGAGAAATTAAGATGACTGCCAAGAGATGGCATCACTTAAAAATCAAATTGTTTTTAATTGGTATGAACCTGACAAAGACCCAAGGATAGTGGGTTGGGAGATACACCAGTGAGGCTGTTTTGCATTTGATAAGACTCTCATTTGGGAAACATAAAGCAGATGTTTATTGACTTTGGGGGAAGCGGTTTCTGTTTGTTTTTCTATTAACTCTAAGCATTCATAGAATCAAACATCCTCACACATATATGTGTGCATATTACACATATTTTCCATTAAGATATACTTTTAAAATAAGCATTTCAACCATTACTACAAGTTCATGGGGCTGTCTTCTCTACTGCGTATGCTTTGGGTTATTATTCTAATTCTAGAAAGAGACTAAATGCAATTTCATTCCTCAGCTTACAGGCAGAGAGAGCTGAGAGTACAGGTTGTGTGTCATGTGCATTCTAGAGCTCACTTTGGAAAATAAAACACAAACAAATCAAGTTGGCTACCTGTCATTCTATAAGCACGTACACTTGAAAATAGATGGATGCCTTAAAAAGTTTAGGAATTATCAGTGAATCACCATGTGTTTGACCTCACTATCGAATTTTCTGTTCTATAGCAGGGATTGAAAAGCTATAGCCCACAGGTTATATCGGGACTCTTCCATCAGTATCCCGTCCTCCACCCCAGCCCACTCTGTTTTTGCAACTGAAGTTTTGTTGGACTACAGCCTCACTCATTTCACTTAACAATGGCAGAGCTGAGTAGCTGCAACAGAGAATATCTAATGGCAAAATCTACACTATTTCCTACTCTGGCCCTTTCCAGAAGCTTGCTGACCCTATCCCATTGTAATGGTCACTGAAGACTGTTATAAGTAACACAACAATAATCCTTACTGCACAGGAGAAATCAGTAAGATGCATTTTGAGATCTTGCCATCTTTCTCACTCAAGAACCAAATCAGGTCCTATTTCTAAATAATTCACTATTCTATCATCAAAACTTGCTTTTTTCTCATATACCAAAATGGCTTAACATGCATTTCCTTTTACACCTACACCTGTGTTATAAAACCCAGTGCTGTGTATTTGTTACCATTCTGATTCCAGGAGCCACGCAAGTGTATGTCAAATGTGCAGTGAAAGAAATTGATTTTGATGGTAGACTTTGGGTTTATAATTCAAAAGAACTCATGAAGGTGGAATTATTTGAAGAGGATTTTATGATTCTTTTAGGATTCTATGTTCCCCTACCTCTCTGTGTGAAAAGGTAAAGAAGCCAAAAAGAGGGGGGATATGAGATTGGGGTGAAATTTTGTTGGAGATAATCCTTGGTGACCATTCCATCTCCATCTACCTCTCTGGTGGGCTGCCTGCTGACCTTTGCACTGTCTGAGTAGATGACTCTTCGAAAGTAGCTGGAGTCAGGCACTGACTGGAAGGATCTCTTGCCATGCCTCAGAATGGAGTGTGTGCTTTGAGCCAGGCCAGCTCTCCTGGGCGGCCCACCTCAGCCCCATATGAAACCTGGCTCAGCCAAGAAGACATCTTCATAGTGTGAAAGTTGAGTTGGTTTGCTGAGATTTATGTTATAACATTTTTATCATTTCTTCATTTTCTGCCAAAGTCAAGGCTAAGAAGCCAGGGTTGCCTGCCTCTTCAGCATGTCAGCCTGTGAGAAAGTAACAGAATCATGGGGCCAAAAATGTTTTAATTAGTCCAAAGTTCTTTCTCCAAATTATTAGAGAACTTAATGATAATTGTTTCCTCTAGGCTTTTCCCCTGGGCCTTCTCAAGGTCATTGCTTTATGGCCATGGTTGATTAATGAGGAAGAAAAACTGGGGGAATTTGGATATTTTCATACATTTGAGAGAAAGCCAAGAGGAAAAGCTAGTTCTTGCTGTAGCTTCTTTTAGCGGCTGGGGGAAGGAGGCTGTTGAACAAACTTGCATGGTGAGAACCTCTCCTTTGCTGTAACATGCCTGTGGATTTAAATTTCTAGTTTGGCTTTCTGTGTGATATAAAAAGCCTTGGAGCTCAGACTAATTCAAAGAATGTGTGAGGAATAAGACTGCACCATTCTTGGAAACGAGAGAGAGAGAGAGAGAGAGAGAGAGAGAGAGAGAGAGAGAGAGAGAGAGAGAGAGAGAGAAACACCTCTATATATAAAAATATACACTGAGCAGACTAATTCAAAGAATGTGTGAGGAATAAGACTGCACCATTCTTGGAAACAGAGAGAGAGAGAGAGAGAGAGAGAGAGAGAAACACCTCTATACATAAAAATAAATTCTGGGAAGTACATTGAGCATAAAAGCAAAGAAAGTTGCAGAATGAGATCCAAACTGAAAGAAAAGTGTTCCTTAAATATCTCGAAGGGCTTACTGTGTTATAGTTTTAGATCAGTATTAGTCTGCTATAAGAATAGCCAGCATCCTGCAAGAGGCACAAGTGCTGGGATTTAGCGCGGGGAGAGCCCTTGCCCTGCTCTGCGGAGCTGCCACTGCGGTGCAGAGCACTACGCAAGCAGGTGGTCTGTGTCTGGAATGTCCTGCAGCTGGGAGTTCACATGACACTCTCGAGCGATCCAATGAGCTCATGACCTAAAGCAAGGCTGCCACCCAAGAAGGGTGGAGGAGCCCGAGAGCATCCTGGAACGCCTGCGGGCAGCGCAGACAGGTGCAATGCAGGCCCTCGCAGCCCCCACGGGTCTTCTCATCTTATCCTCTTGTTTGCTTGCCAACTGCAGGTTCATTCCGGAGGCTTGGTCCGCCTGCACTGTCACCTGTGGTGTGGGGACCCAGGTGAGGACAGTCAGATGCCAGGTGCTCCTGTCTTTCTCTCAGTCGGTGGCTGACCTACCGGTTGATGAGTGTGAAGGGCCGAAGCCAGCATCCCAGCGTGCCTGTTACGCAGGACCCTGCAATGGAGAAATTCCGGAGTTTAACCCAGAGAACACAGACGGGCTCTTGGGTGGCCTGCAGGACCTGGACGAGCTATACGACTGGGAATATGAGGGCTTCACCAAGTGCTCCGAGTCATGCGGAGGAGGTAAGGAGGGGACCCCAGACCAGACCCCACCTCTTCCTAACGTCTTCTGTCCCTGCGTGCAGCTGTGCCAAGCGACCTTGCAGGTCCGAGAATGCGCAGAGGCAGGAGAGCTAGCCATTCTAAACGAGAGCTAGCCATTCTAAACGGCAAAGCACGTTGCATGAAACCCGGGTGGATTCTTCCCGCCTGCGCGGCTCTTGGAGTCAGCTGTGCGCAGCCAGCACTGATGCCTTGGCATGCGTGTTTTGTTCTCAGCGTTCAGTCTCATGTATCTATGCCTTCCCTCCACGCATGCCGGGTGAAAGGAACGCCCAGATGCAACACTTCCTGCTGTTCTCAAGAACACAGAGGCCCTACAAGTTACTCAGCTGATTTTCCAAAGGGGGGGTGGGGTGTAACAGACGATGAACCCAGTCCCTAGCAGGAGCTAGAAAGAACATTAGGATCAAAGTCAGACCTGACTCCATTTTACAAAGAGAAAACCAGGACGCAAAGAAACAGAGATTTGTTCGACAGTGCTGGACCCAGGCCAAGGCTTCTATTTTCTGTCCACAGTCCTTCAGTCTTTCCATAATACTACATCTTCTCTAAGTACAGAATTCCTGAAGCTTTCTCATTATGAATATTATTTACTGTCAGATGTTTACCTGATTCTCTTAGGTATATTCCATGGTGATCTCAAAATAACTTCCATGACTTTTAAATTAATGTCTTTAATTGATGGTAGTCAACTGCATATATTTATGGAGTGCCACATGATTTGATGTTCATGTTGTAGAGAGGTTAACTAAACCAGTTAATACCCTTAGGGATTCTTGTGGGCACACATTGAGGGGAGGGGCTGTATGTATGTCTGTATGTGAGTGCCTGCCCATGGAGGCATATATAAAAACCGGAGGCTGATGTCAGATGTCTTCTTCAATTACTTTCGTGCCTTATTTTTGAGACAGGGTCTCTCCAGGAACCTGGAGCTTGACGTTTCTGCCAGACTAGCTAACCAGAAAGACTCTGGGGTCCACCTGTCTCTTCACCCCCAGCACTGGGAATCCAGGCACATGCCACCACACCCAACATTTTAGTGAGTGCCGGGGACCAGAACACGGCTTACACAACATGCACTTTACACGCTGAACCATCTCCCCAGCCCCCTTCAGTGATTCTTAATTTAGGGTGGTATGAACAGGATTATGGTAGGAAAATGAATTAGTTCTGCAAAATTATTATCTTTCTCTCCACTATGGAAAATATATTAGATTCATGCTATAATTATTGCCCACATCTAATCCCAAAAGAAGTGCAGGGTGATTCCACACCAAAGCCCTCTCATTGCCAGTGTACCCCCTTAGGGCACATTGTCAGTGTGCAATGCCTGCAGAGATCAGAAGAGGCTGTCGGATCCCCTGGGACTGGAGTTAGGACAGTTGTTAGCTGCCATGTGGGTGCTGGGATTCGAACCCTGGTCTTCTGCAAGAACAACCAGTGTTCTTAACCGCTGAGCCATCTCTCCAGCCCGGGAATGGTTAGATTCTTAAAGATAAAGGTATCTGGTTATTTACACATTCTATTCACTACTCCATCTCGTTTTTCCACCTGCTCATAAAATTCCAGGCTTGACTTGTAACTGAGAACTATCACTGAGAAACTGCAGTGTGTTCCAAAGCACTTCTGTTTTTGAGTAAATAATGATCAATTCGAGTGATCATGGAAATCAAGGGTGAAAACACAACCACTGAATTTTGAGTCATTTATTATATTAAAAAGAAGCAATTGGGGGCCAGGTATGGTGATCCATGTCTTTAATCCCAGCAAGAGAGGCAGGTGGATCTCTGTGAGTTCAAGGCCAACCTGGTATATACAGCAAGTTCCAGGCCAGCCAGGGCTACAGAGTGAGACCATGTCTCAAAAACAAAACACAAACGAAAGAAGCAACTGTAGCCACCAGCTATACACGGCCTTTCCCCTGACCTCTTGGCTCCTACAGGAATTCAAAGATCAACAATGCTTATTTAACACTTCCCCCTCATTAGGCATGAAAGAAAGGATGTCCTCAAAGAGTGAAACAGACACAGAGTGAATTCATTCACATTAGCGAGCTGAGTTCCAGGAAGCTGTCTCCTAGAGTCATTTGGAAGAATTTAGATTTTAAAATACTAGGGCTCTCCATTAAAACGCTTCACAATTCCAGGACTTGAAACTGGAAGATGTGCAAACAAACAAGAACCTCTGGGTCAGAACCATTACATGTTTAAAAAGAGCTGCTAGAGAAAAGGGCATTCTCTGCTAGTGTGTCCCCTATTCATCCCTTTCAGCTCTGTGTGAATGCACAGTGTGGGCACATTTATTCTTACCTTTTCAATCATAACAAAAGATGTTTCTAAAAGAGTTTCCCAAATGTCATGGTTTAGAAAACAGTTTTGGGAAACTATTTCAGTACTTAAAAAAAAAAAAAAAAAAAAATGTTGAGTAAGTAAAAACTGCTGGGCCTGTGGAGCCTCAACATGCCCTAAGGGGGAACACTGGCAATGTGCCCTAAGGGGGTACACTGACAATGTGCCCTAAGGGGGAACACTGACAATGTGCCCTAAGGGGGAACACTGACAATGTGCCCTAAGGGGGTACACTGGCAATGTCCCCTAAGGGGGTACACTGGCAGTGTGCCCTAAGGGGGTACACTGGCAGTGTGCCCTAAGGGGGTACACTGGCAGTGTGCCCTAAGGGGGAACACTGGCAGTGTGCCCTAAGGGGGAACACTGGCAATGTGCCCTAAGGGGGTACACTGGCAATGTGAACTTACCTACACCCAGGCAATACACACATACACATAAAATAAAAATAAAGAAATAAGATTTAAAAAAAAAAAAAAGAATCTAACCATTCCAACCAAGAGTTTAAAACTGAATTTCGATGATGTATGTAGAATGTATTAATTTTATGTGTTTTCAGAAGACACTGATTTAGAAATAAGTTTTGGATATTTGATATACAATTGATCTCTACCTAAAGGAACTGAGTGTTTTTGTAGAACATAAATTGTACCTCATTTATACCCAAAGGAGGACAAAGTTACTAAACGTTTTTAAGTCTTTAACTGTCAACAACTAAGCACACTTGCATACAGGTATGTCAACAGTACCAAGGTAATATATTTACACCTAAAATTTTAGAGTTGAAAATTCCAAAGTGGTAAAAATATGCTTGGGTTATATGTTCCATGTGATGCATATATATTTATATGTATATTTATGTATTAGTAATTATTGCTGAAACTAACCAAAAACATGCCTTTTGTTAATCCACAAAAAGGCCTTAAATCAATTTAGGGTTATAGAGCTAGTCAGACTAATTTTGTTTCTGTAATCTCAAGAGATGAAATTGGATAGACACAAGTAACCGTTCACCTAGCAGAGAGGTAGCGACCAGAAATATATTTATATGTATATTTATGTATTAGTAATTATTGCTGAAACTAACCAAAAACATGCCTTTTGTTAATCCACAAAAAGGCCTTAAATCAATTTAGGGTTATAGAGCTAGTCAGACTAATTTTGTTTCTGTAATCTCAAGAGATGAAATTGGATAGACACAAGTAACCGTTCACCTAGCAGAGAGGTAGCGACCAGAAGGAACTCATTAGTAATTTGGTCTGTAGTTGGTGGGTGAGTTTCAGTGAACTGTCATCAAATATCACATAACAATTAGACTGTTCTGGGAGACATAAACACAGAAAATCCCATTTTCTGGAAGATAAAAGTCCTCAGATCTGTGTGCTATGTCCCACTATCATCTCCTTGTTATATTGCAATTTCCCATGCGTGGATTGGATTGATAGGTGTGGTCCAGGACAGCACTTTTGAACCTACACAGCATCATATTGACTTACTGCACTGGATGCCAAACCCATGTTAAGGTCTAGCTTAGGGAAAACATGAAACTGACTTCAGCAGGCTTCAGGGTGAAGACTTGTCCCAACTGCTGCTTTTCCTTCTCAGTCTTTCATCAGAAGAGGAAACCCCACAATCAGAACATACTATGTTTAAACCAGGTTCTCTGCTGGTTTGAAGTCTTGATTTCAGAGGACCAGAGAGATGGCCCAGTGAGTAAGAATGCAAGCATGAAAACCTGAGTTCAGACCTTCCCACCCACACAAAAAGTTGGATGTGACCGGATGTCTGCACGCCTATAATCCCAGTGCTGTGGGTTACTGAAACAGGATGACTCAGGTTTGCTGGCTACTAGCCTAGTTGTAGGTTCAGTCAGAGACTGCCTCAAAGAAATAAGGGCAGAGATGGTGGTATAGGATACCTGAGGGCCTCATCTGGCTCCTGCATGTACACTGTCACACACAAGTGTGCATTTATCACACACACACTACATATAATACCTGTACACACAAAAAAACTTAAATACATGCAAACATATATAATCATGGGGCTGGAGAGATGGCTCAGTGGTTAAGAGCACTGGCTGCTCTTGCAGAGGACTCGGGTTCAATTCCCAATAACTATATGGCGGCTAACAACTGTCCGTAAGTCCAGTTCCAGTGGATCCGACACCCTCTTCTGACCTCTGCAGGCATTGCATGACACAGGTGGCTTACATACATGCAGGCAATACACTCGTATACATAAAATAAAAAATAATAAAATATAAAGTTTCTATATAAATAACCAGGACGTTGTTAGTCCTCCAAAGAGCATGAACTTGGAAAGATAAAGTTCACGCCTTCCTCAGCTCAGCACGAAGACAGTGGCCTCCAGCCCTTCCCACGCTCCCCACCCCAAGGTGGTGCCTAACTCCCTGCCCCTTTTCCCTGGGCGCTCTGCCCTCCCTCAGCCTCAGCTGCCTGCTGTGCTCCCACTGCCCTGACTGTTCATCCTGAGAAAATTAATGGTGACAGCACAGGGCTGGCCCCATGTAGTGTTTAAGTATGACCAAACGTCTAACTTGGGTTACCCCACCTAAGAAGAATGCTTAGGCACTAACCCCACGACAACAAAGAC